GAAAAAGCTAATGAAATTGTTGAAAAAGTCCAGCAAGATAAGCATATTAGCAGTGTCGATATCGGTATGGAACTAGGCATTGACCACAAAAGTGTTTTCAACCATTTACACAAAGCTGGATGTTTACAAACAGAAGATGGATGTTTGGGTTCCTCGTGAGTCGAGCGCGGAAAACACGATGAATCGAATCAACATCTGCGATGCGCTGCTGAAACGTAATGAAATCGAGCCATTTCTGAAACGTGTCATAACCGGTGATGAAAAATGGATCACGTACGACAATCGGAAGCGCCAAAGATCGTGGACAAAAGATGGTGAGCCGTCACAAGCGTTCGCGAAGCCGGGATTGACGCTAAAAAAGGTGATGCTGTGTGTGGGGTGGGACTGGAAGGGAATCCTCCACCATGAGGTACTTCTAGTTGGTCAGACGATTAATTCTCGACTCTACTGTGAACAACTGGAGAGATTACGCCAAAAAAAAAACGGCCCGAATTGCATAATAGGAAAGGTGTTGTCTTCCATCGCGACAACGCCCGACCACACATTTCTTTGACGACCCGTAAAAAATTACGAGAGTTTGGTTGGGAAATTCTGATGCATCCACCGTATAGTCCAGACATAGCACCCTCTAACTATCACTTGTTCCGATCTCTGCAGAACTCTCTCAATGGAATTAAACTGGCTTCAAAAGAAGCCTGTGAAAACCATTTGAGTCAGTTTTTTAACCAGAAACTACAGAAGTTCTTCACCGATGGCGTCGTGATTTTACCCGAAAAATGGCGAAACATTGTCGAAAATAATGGAGCATATTTGGTTTAAATAAATTTATTTTCACAATATAAAAAATTCAATTGAATTTTACTAACAAAACGCCACGAACTATTCCCCAGATCCAATATTTAAGTAACCAAACGACCAGCATCTTAAACATTTTATTAAGCAAAGCTTTTTGATTAGAACTATACACATTGACTTACTATCTCAATTATTTAACAATCTAATGAACTAATTCGAAAAGATTAAGTACATTATTGATAACAATTTTGGGGATATTAATCGGTTCTCGCTAACTCTAATCATTTGACTGCGGATTGACTGACTGCCAATTGTAAGAAATCTGGACATTTTTACATTTTTCAATGTGTATAGCTTGTCAATACGTTGATCCATTTCACTGTTGAAATTTTCGATCCAAGCTCAGATAAAAAAGTTAAAAGACATCACTGTCTTTTTTTATCATTCCAACTGATTGCGAATTTTATAAAAATTTAATTCACACATTGTCTGATAAACTGTAATTATAAATTTCGTGTATACCATTCCTTTGGACAGTCCGGCGGCACACTTTCCGGTGTCAGAAAACAATCTAACAGATTGCAAAGCATTTCCACGTGACATATGTCCGGCAACGGGGTGATTTTTTTAAATCTATTCTTCATCACTTCCACCAACGACGGGACATATTTGTCGAATAATATCGTCAGATTTGCTCTTTCAGAAGCTTCTCTCGTTTCTATCCAGCTAATTGCGAATCTACGTTCATCGTAAAACGTTCATCGTTAATATATGCGATACATTGTAGCACAAACGAACTTGTAAATATGTACTTTTTTCAGTTAATAAATGTTATGATGTTTCTATAAATATTACGGCCATCTCTGAATAATATACTCGGATTTGCAACAAATGTTAATTCATATATGTGGTTTATTCAATGAAATTTAAATATTTATCGACTCGATATAGAGGTATATAATCAAATAACATTGATGATAATTATTATTATTATCATTATTATTATATTATTAAATATAATTTATTCAGTCACATAAATAGTACAAAGAAAATGTTGACAAATTACGTTAACAAATTCTATCGTTCTTTCTATTCAGAATATTTTTAATATCTTAAATTAAAGATTTTACGATGCTTTCAATAGTAAAAGGGGAACATATTCTATTGATTTTCTCGATTATTGAGCTTCTTGGAAAAATTAATATAAGATAGGAAATTGAAGAATGTGATCTTTCAATATATAAATTCTGAAAAATTATAAGCATTTGTCTAAATATTTAATAATTTGCGTAGATCTTTACTTTTTTGATCCAGTTCATCATTTAAATAATAAATATCTAGATGACAATTTGATATTATTTGTTTGATGAAAATAATTAATTGTAATCATAGTGTTTGGCATACTGTTGAATTTGCAATTGCAAATTTGATCTAGGTACTTGTCTGCAATGCAGAGTAATATAGCTATATGTATATTATACGTATACAGCGATATAATCATTTATATCTCGTTGGTTGTTACCATAATCGATTAACGGTTGGCTGGCTTATATTTATGTTAAGTTGCTAAAGTGATGGACAATTAGTTACTCACGGGTACCAACCGATATCTTGTGGATTTATATAAAGAATTCCGGCTCTGGATACCGTAGCTGGTGTAGCTGTTCTGGATAAACAAGTAAGAACTTTAAACAAAATGAAGGCTGTCTTTACTACTTTTTCAACCCGTTGCATTATAACGAGTCAGACTCGTGATGTTATTCGTATGTTCGAAATCGAAACAAAATTTAATTTTCCTATTACCAAAATATAGAAAAATGATTAAGGACAAAGTGGTGTGCTAATCAATGTTGCTGTGGAAGAAATCTAAGTGTAAGGGACCATTCAATTAAAAGATCTGACACGAACATTTTCAATTCCTTTTTGTACAAAAATATGGAACTTAAGAAATGAAATTGTAGTAATTATTAGAATAATATAAAACTAATAAAACAATAAGAAATCATAATATAAAGTGATCTCTAAATAATACAATTCTGTCATGAAACACTTGAATACAGTCTGTAGAATATCATAAACTTTTAAATGATTGAATTCGAGATACGTCACGTTTTTAAGCCTGTTAAATGCAAACAAATTAAAATTGAAATTTGTGAAACAATGTTCAACTAATTGAGCCGTTTATTTTGAAAGTGGTCTAAGTTCATTTATTTTAAAGTCTAGATATTTAAGGATTTCACATTTTGATAAATTAAAAAATACTGCTAACTGATAATTAGACTGCGGATTTTTATGCAAAATAAAAATTGTCTCCATCAATTGCAGGAAATAGAAAAAATCAAGTAGCAACTTCATTCTTTTTTTTAATCATCTTAGTAGATTAAAAATAATACTATTTTTACTAAAAATTATACTATCTTTTTTAAATTATAACAACACAATTTATTGCGTTCTAGAGGCTTCGTTGAAATGTAATTATATATAACGTAGAAATGTAAATATTAAAATAGCTAGCTCGATGTGTTTTTGGAAAATGGATCCAGGCCACTTTCAAAATAAACGGTTCAATTAATCGATTCATGCTCAAACAAATCCCAAGAAAATGATGAGAAGGAGGATCGTTACCGTAGATTGGAGATTTCAAAGAGAAGTCTCATTTGTGGCGTTAAAGCGATTCTTTCGTTACTAGCTAACGTTAATACTTTATTGTCATCCATAACAGTATTTAACGATTCGATCCACATGGGATCTATGTCACNTTTATTTTAAAGTCTAGATATTTAAGGATTTCACATTTTGATAAATTAAAAAATACTGCTAACTGATAATTAGACTGCGGATTTTTATGCAAAATAAAAATTGTCTCCATCAATTGCAGGAAATAGAAAAAATCAAGTAGCAACTTCATTCTTTTTTTTAATCATCTTAGTAGATTAAAAATAATACTATTTTTACTAAAAATTATACTATCTTTTTTAAATTATAACAACACAATTTATTGCGTTCTAGAGGCTTCGTTGAAATGTAATTATATATAACGTAGAAATGTAAATATTAAAATAGCTAGCTCGATGTGTTTTTGGAAAATGGATCCAGGCCACTTTCAAAATAAACGGTTCAATTAATCGATTCATGCTCAAACAAATCCCAAGAAAATGATGAGAAGGAGGATCGTTACCGTAGATTGGAGATTTCAAAGAGAAGTCTCATTTGTGGCGTTAAAGCGATTCTTTCGTTACTAGCTAACGTTAATACTTTATTGTCATCCATAACAGTATTTAACGATTCGATCCACATGGGATCTATGTCACCATCGAAAATGATCCATTTCGGATCATTTCCGGTCATATTAGCTTGATCCCTCATTATCACTGAAAACAATCTGGAAATAAAAGTAGAACGATTAGCCATCCTAACTTCTTTCGATGAACTCTGTACATAAGTGAGAGTTAAATATATAATGTACTGCTAAAAAAATTCAATAAAAACACACACGATTTCTGGATTTTCCAAATTATCGCAAATTGATACACGGTAGAACTTCTCTCATTCGAACGTATATCCTGATACCAAAACATTTTATCATCTAAAAATTTCATTCGAGTTTTCTACAAGGTGATATATTTTTATTTAGGATTTTATGCGTTTATAGCAAAAACGAGTAAATGAAAATCAAAGCTATAAAGATTTTAAAAGAAGGTTAAACTTTTCCTTGAGGGTTTCTATCTTTTTTACTTTCCAGTGTACATTCCAATAGATTTTGAGTCTAAAAATGTAATTAAAATAAATCCTGAATTTATTTGTTAAAACGTTAACGTAGTTCTAAACTTGACATAACCTTGACATAACTCCCAAGGGAATGTTTAGTCCTTTTCTCGATAAAATCCATTCGAATCAAAAGATAGAAACCTCCAAGAAAAAGTTTAGCCTATAAGAATTTAAATATACCGTCGCGTTATTTTTGACATATTGACATGATTAAATTAAGAAATTTTATTTTGCTTAAAGATCCACAGTGCAGTGATAATGTATCTAAATGATACAATGATTAGTTAATAATAGAACGTTTGGATATCAGAATATTGTAAAAGTAAATGTTCGGTTGTGGGAGCCACTATCGTAGTTCTAGAAGTTGATCGAAGAACATATTAACAATAACGAATCATAAACAGATATCCGTAATTGTTTGAACAAGTTTAGAAAGTGTCGAACCCGTCTTTCCATTCTCGTGTGGCTGGATTAATAATTCCGAACAATTCGTCATTGGTTACAGCCTTCGGATTCAGATCGTTATAATACGGTTTCAATTTCTGATTGAAATAAGTTCGATTCAGCGTTTTCCAAACTTCTGTCTTCCCGGTCCCAGCGAAACCGACGATGAAAACAGAATGACGAACGTGAAGCAGTTCTTCCAGTTGGACCACCTTATTTGTAAAGTTAAGCGTTAATCGTCTGCGCGACGAATCGTATACGCAAACTTGAAGATAACGGAAGGACTACACTCCGGGTCAAAAATTTTACTTAAAATTTTACACTTTTAAATTAGCGTAAAATTCTACGCTTTAAAATTAACGTGATTTTGTTTTTGTTTAACGCGACAACCAAGGCTTCGTTTTCGTGCAGAACTTGCAAAATATCATTGTAAACATACACAAACGAAATAGAATTGTAACTCGTCAATCTGAAACAATTTTATTTGGAAAGAAAATAATTTTTATGGAATTATTTATAGATTAGTTCGATGAAAAGATTCGATCAAATTAATGATTCAAGTACGTAGCGAATCGGGGGTTAACAAATCGACTGATACATGCGATTCTTACTTTTAATATGAAACCATCCTCCGGCTGCAATTTCAAATCGACAGCTGACTCTTTCACCGTTAGCTCGAATTCTAAGTCTCTTTTCCGTGGTACATCCAAAGCAGGGAATAAATCACCTAGAAAGTCGATAATAAAGTATCAAGTAGCCTTTGCGGGAGTTCAATGTGCTGGAATAACAGGAGGCAAAAATTTCTACTGCAACTACGAACAGCCCTAACACAGTTTGTTTCATTATACATATTTAACGCAAGAACTACGAGACGGGTCAAACTGACTGTTTTTCGATCTTTCCTGTTACATGCTGTATACATTTTTCTACGAGAAATTTTTTAATAAATTCCTTTATTCATGCATACACTGTAACAGAAATTATACGAAGCTTGAATAAATTCGATCTTGTCATTTTTTATCAGCTATCGTCCATATTGAAGGAGCCACGACAACCTTTATTTAAATTGTTTTTTTTTATATTTATAATAAGGAATTTAGTCATATGAGAAATCTTTTAAAGAAAAGTGCTTCGACTATAATTCACGACTAGACTGCTAATTTTTATGGAAAATAAAAATTGTTTCAGTTAATTTTAAGATAAATGAAAATGTATTTTCTCTTTTAATGATTTATATTATCAATGAGGATATCGGTATAAATCAAACTCTGATCTGATAATTAAGTCATCGTGTAATTTCCAAGATCTATTTCACAATTATTTCGAATGTTTAAAGTTAGAAAATAACAGTTATAAAATAAAATAACATGTTATATAAAATAATATTTCAAATAATGTTACTTCAAAGGTGATCACAGGCATGGAAATAATTATGAAACAAAATAATACATTACTTCAAATAATAGTTCAAGTAATGTAATTTCGTGTGTGCCTAGATCTGGTCGGTACTTTCAAAAGAATCGTAAGGTGCACTTACCGATAAGTCCCATAAAAACGGGCACATCGTCCGTCACGATTTTCGGAATATTGAAGTCTCTGAGAGCTCTCATCAGCACTTGATCTTCGGGCCTCTGGGGATCGTCTCTTTTCAATTTCCCAGCAACGACCAAAACCGACTTAATAGCCCTTAAACCCCAATCGTAATGGTCTTGCTTCGACAACAATTCTCGGCAGAGCTGATACAGTGTTATGAACTTTCTCGCCAATAACCTGGCTTCTTGGAAACCTTCTGCTACCAACATGATTTCACAGATCAGGTCGAAATCCGGAACCACCATCGCGCAAGGTCTGCGGAGAAAAATTAGCAAAGATATCGTTATCTTGTTATTATTAGTTGTAGGCATTTTTATTCTTTAACAAGATTTTTATTTAAATCCAAAAAATTTACGATAAAGTAATGTTATTTTTATATTTAATTTTCTACGCATGCATTCGAAAAGTAAAATAAGAAAAAACGTAATCATCATTAGTCTTTTAAATAATTATCATTCGATAGGTTGTCAAAAATAAGATGAAATGTGTGAAATGTAAATGTGCATGGATAGTTGAGATTGTATTTGCGTGTTTCAATTTTCAAAAATACCACAGGAAATTCGTATTATTCATGGGATGTTCTGATGATTCTGACGAACGCTAATATTATAGAGTTTACTAGCAGCTTAAGAGTTAATAAGAGTTAACAATTAAGAGTTAATTGTTTTTAAACATATCGACTCTTCATTTGCACAGGTAACGTGTAGAGTGGCCCACATAACTGTGCCACCTCTGATAATCTTGTTATTTCCGCAATTACAATAAAATGAGCCGTTTATTTTGGAAGTGGCATAAGTCACTTTGTTTTTAAGTCGATATATTTAAGGGTTTGCGTTTTAACACGTTTAAAAATATGGATGCTAACTTTCGAGAAGATTTAGTTGTATTTGTTATCTCAGGATACTGATATTTTTCTCAGTATAAATAATTTCGTATAAACATTAAAAAAATTACCACTTTTCATTACGGTAAAGTGACTTATGCCACTTTCAAAATAAACGGCTCAAATTTGTAAAATTTTTGACTCACGGTCATTTCATGGTATTAAAGAATCACCACTTTTCATTACGGTAAAGTGACTTATGCCACTTTCAAAATAAACGGCTCAAATTTGTAAAATTTTTGACTCACGGTCATTTCATGGTNTAAGTCCCATAAAAACGGGCACATCGTCCGTCACGATTTTCGGAATATTGAAGTCTCTGAGAGCTCTCATCAGCACTTGATCTTCGGGCCTCTGGGGATCGTCTCTTTTCAATTTCCCAGCAACGACCAAAACCGACTTAATAGCCCTTAAACCCCAATCGTAATGGTCTTGCTTCGACAACAATTCTCGGCAGAGCTGATACAGTGTTATGAACTTTCTCGCCAATAACCTGGCTTCTTGGAAACCTTCTGCTACCAACATGATTTCACAGATCAGGTCGAAATCCGGAACCACCATCGCGCAAGGTCTGCGGAGAAAAATTAGCAAAGATATCGTTATCTTGTTATTATTAGTTGTAGGCATTTTTATTCTTTAACAAGATTTTTATTTAAATCCAAAAAATTTACGATAAAGTAATGTTATTTTTATATTTAATTTTCTACGCATGCATTCGAAAAGTAAAATAAGAAAAAACGTAATCATCATTAGTCTTTTAAATAATTATCATTCGATAGGTTGTCAAAAATAAGATGAAATGTGTGAAATGTAAATGTGCATGGATAGTTGAGATTGTATTTGCGTGTTTCAATTTTCAAAAATACCACAGGAAATTCGTATTATTCATGGGATGTTCTGATGATTCTGACGAACGCTAATATTATAGAGTTTACTAGCAGCTTAAGAGTTAATAAGAGTTAACAATTAAGAGTTAATTGTTTTTAAACATATCGACTCTTCATTTGCACAGGTAACGTGTAGAGTGGCCCACATAACTGTGCCACCTCTGATAATCTTGTTATTTCCGCAATTACAATAAAATGAGCCGTTTATTTTGGAAGTGGCATAAGTCACTTTGTTTTTAAGTCGATATATTTAAGGGTTTGCGTTTTAACACGTTTAAAAATATGGATGCTAACTTTCGAGAAGATTTAGTTGTATTTGTTATCTCAGGATACTGATATTTTTCTCAGTATAAATAATTTCGTATAAACATTAAAAAAATTACCACTTTTCATTACGGTAAAGTGACTTATGCCACTTTCAAAATAAACGGCTCAAATTTGTAAAATTTTTGACTCACGGTCATTTCATGGTATTAAAGAATCACCACTTTTCATTACGGTAAAGTGACTTATGCCACTTTCAAAATAAACGGCTCAAATTTGTAAAATTTTTGACTCACGGTCATTTCATGGTATATAACATTTAATGAGTTTTCACCTAAACCTATTTGTGGTAGCTAAAGAGATAAGTCATTCGATTAAAAAAAAGAACATTACTGCTGGAGAGATTTCGTAGAATATGAATTTCAGATGACCTTAGTCTCCGGAGACATCTATCCTGCTTGAAATAAGATAACTTTTTCTTTAAATATCTTGCTGTACATCTGCAGAAACTAATATTTATTAACATATAAATATGTTATGGGAGGTGGCAGAGTACGTGGGACACCCTATATATATTCTAGTGGACAGCTTATCGTTTCATCGAGTCCTAGTCTTTTCTCACAAAATTGCAAGATTTTAAGGACAGTCGGAAGATGTAATTTTATGCAATCGCAAGAAAAAGTGTATAATACCGGAACAAAGTTTTCAAGTTTTCCGGTAATTCTGTTCTTCCAGCATATCCTGGATTCATAGTGATGAACATGCCAACGGTCGGAATAAGGTTCAATTCTTCCCCAAAGAACAGAAACGTTGGTTTACCACTTTTTATTCCGTCTAAGACCGATTTCACTTGTACAGCAACCACGGAAAGTACTTCCACGGAAATACGGTTAAATTCATCGAAACAACCCCACGCTCCGACCTGAGCAAGGCCTTTATAAATATTTCCGCAGGACTGCAAAGGCGTAATAAACGAAGTCATTGAGTGAGAGGTTTGTGAATCACTATTATTGAAAATATAGAAGTGTTCCCCAAAAATGTAATCCTGAGGTGATTTCGAGTTATTTTTTCCTGAACAGAAATGTTCTCCGCGACTTTGTTAACGAGTTATTCGATATTTGTGAAAATACGGTCCCAATCGGGGAGAACGAATATAGTTGACGCCACGCCTTCGCGACAGCAAACGCGAGATTTAAATCGCAAAATTTTAAGTTTTAATCGCAAATTTAAAAAAAATGTTAGTAGAGTCATTGTCTAGTAGACTGGTCCCTCTATCATCTAAAAAAAATTGAAGTCATTTGGTCCAGTTTTTAAAAAGGTCATACCGTTCTTCAAGTGATGTTAAATATATGTCCGCTACTGTATCCCCCTAATTTTATTAGGATCCGCAAAATGTAAGATGAAAAAAATAATTGATGTTATTCGACTTAATTTCTCAATTTTATTTTAATTTTATGTACTTAATCACAAGCACTTTAATTTTACGAAATTGTCGAGGCTATTGTCGTGCTAGTCAAAGTGTCGAGAACAAAGGAGTGCTAATCGACGTAGCTATGAAATAAATCGTGGAGCAAGGGATTAATTGTAATTCTCATTTGCAGCTGTAATTTGTAATAAAAAATTGAAATCCTTTAATCAAACAATTCTTTTCGAACAATTCATTTACATTCCGCGGGATTGATAACTCGAACTTGAATAATGAATTTGTTCTTGTTGCTGGGTTTTGTTTTCAAATAACTGTTTCCTTGGTCCCCGATTGAAACACTCCTAAATCAATGCGCGAATACTGTTTTCAACGTTTCTTTCAGAATTCTATACCTTCGCCAAGTTTACCTTGTAATCCATTTGCTCGGAACAATTGAACACGTACACCATTTGGCCGAGTGCTCGTCCCAAATCTTTGGTGGTTTCTGTTTTTCCTGTTCCCGCAGGTCCAGCCGGTGCCCCGCCCATTATAAGATGCAACGACTGCGTCAAGGTAATGTAACATCTGTCCGTCAGCGGCGTTATTACCAATCGGGGAACGTTTCCCAAATATTCGTGGCTGTATCGAAACGTTGCATCGCATATATCAGCGAAACAGTCGTGCGCCTTATCGTCCCATCTGTAAGTTATTTGACCGAAGAGTACTATAAGTGGAGGCATCCGCGCAGCTATTAACTGGATTTTATAAGTGTCAGCAATTCGTAACGTGTAATTTAAGCAGGTAATTGAATGATAACAAATAAATACAGATTAAATTTACAACGTCGTTCTGGTTGTTACGTTCCACACAATATGCTTTAACATCAGGAAACGCGGGAAGCCGAGGCACGTAACGTACCGTATCTCACGTTACAGTGGTCACATTAATTATCGTGACCACCCAATACATATCTGTACGGGCGAGCGTACAGTTGGCAACAAAAGTTTATACATTTGCTAAATTTTAAATACCGGAAACAATATTGTTACTTGAGATAGCACGAATTCTGAAAGAATTCAAAATTGACGCGTAATCGATTATTACAATCACGGTAATAACGATCATCGCAATAAATTTCGTGAATTTCTGTACGTTTCCTCCTTGCAGTAGCGTAAATTTTATACTTTCGTGTTTTTCATTCATTCGTGCTCGTAGATACATGAACATAAAGATTAATAGCCTTTCTTAGAATTTGTCTTTTTCTCCGCAGAAAATTTCAATCTTAATTTAATTTAATCTTAATTTTTTTACTATGTATCTTAAGTTTATTAACAGTAAACTTACCGAGTACGAAAACCGAAAAACTTGTGCTGTTTTGTAAGAACGACGAGACTGAATTTATTTAGATGTTCGTTCATTTTTACTTTAACGTATGCTCAAGTTAAGAAATTCATTCGATCATTTGCCATGAAAGAATCCTTACAATGTGAACAATTTTGAAATGAGAAATTTGAAATCGGATCAGTTTGACCGGCACGGTACGTTTAATGTTAAACTCGATGAAGCGAGGAAACTTTTAAACCTATTATAAACCTTCTAAACTTCTCACCTATGCCTGAGCTGTGATTGCCATTGGAAGCTGGAGGAATTTTCCGCCTTCATCGTGATCATTTTCCCGACGACGTCCCTAGCGTGCACGTCGATGGTGCAGATAGTCATTATTTTCATTCTGTCGCTCGGATTTAAATCTCCGCAGAGTATTGTAATCAGGGCATTGAGCTGGTTGATTTGCTTCCGCTGATAATCTTTGAACGCATTCTCAAAACCCTCCTCGAGTCTCATGAAGGCTATGTTCACTTCGGTTGTCCACCATATCTGGCTTCCAGTGAGCGCTGGTTGGGCCAAGTGGTCAAATATCCATTGTTCTCTCGGCTTTTCATCGTAGTTACCAACTGCTTGCGACATGTGATGACGAACGGTTCTCTTCATAGCATCTGTCACGTTGTTTAACCAGTGTTCCACCTGGAACGTTTAATTATTTTTCGGAAACAAATTATTTGGAAGTTTGTGTTACAGTGTTCTCTCCATAACTGCCTTAATTTCGGATTAGTTGAGTGAAACTTATGGCAGAGGTACTACTTTTTTGCAGTGTTTCGAGCGTAGAGATCAATATTCCTAATTTTTAATTTGTCCTCGATGAAACTTTTTCCATCGTATTCGTCTTGTTTTCTTTTCTTTCTTCGTTGAAGTTCGAAATTTTAATCGCTTGTTACACAAGTAATTATGATCATAATTGTATCGTGTTTGAGCGTTCAACGGGGATAAGATTTTGTCAGTTATGGTAGAGATCTATTCGATAGTTACGAAGAGGATTCCGTATTTTTATTATTTGGTTTTATTTCATTTTATTACGATCCTTGCCTTTCGACTTAGTATAACTACCGGTTACATTTATTTTTTTTTTTAAATGGAGAACTTGTATTATTTTGACGAAAGCTTGTGTATGCTTTTTATATCGGGTGAGTAAAAAAAAATGAAACACTTGAATGTCTCCGTTGGCACGCAGGACAAAAATTACAAAAGTGAAAGCAAACCGTTCAAAAGAACGATACTATGTTATCAACATATTTTTTGATTAATGTCCTTTCGAAGGTCATTTCAAAGTGACCGATACTTTTTTAAATGGCACTACATATTTTTGGTCTGATTAACTATGGTCTTGAAATGACCTTAACAGATTTTGCTTGAAATAAATATTATTGTATGGTGACTTCAGATTAATTTTCTATACATGCAACGCTGCTTCTGCGCAAAGATTTTTGATAATCTTTTCGGACAACGATTTCTTCGATCCGTAAAATTAATATTTAACAGAAATACCTTTCCGCTGCAATCACAAGGTCCATGAATCGGCATATGTTCGCCGTCTTTAGCAACCATTACTATAGCTGTTTTCGTTGGTTTGCCACCGTCCATTTTCCACAGCAAATTTGCGATAGAATCGTATAATTTTGACAAGTGCCTGCACACTAGTTCGGGACTGTTACCTAGAAACACGACGAATTCCTCAATCGTGAAATCTTTATTCTTGGGCAAAACATTTGTAACCATTTCTTTTTCTTAAAAGGCGAAACAATTGCAACGAATTTCTTCGTAAAATCGCTTAAGATGGAGAAATCACCAAGAAAAAGACATCGTCACAGAAGTCGATAGAACGAACAATAAAGAGATAATGCTTTCTAACCATTGCTCAGAATGTCTAATAGATCGGCCGAAGAAATGAAATAGAACCTGGGATAAATTAATCTTTTCGTTTCCAAGTAATCTGCCAGAGCTTTCTCACAGACATTCAATTGAATCTGTAATTCTTCCAGTTTCTCCAAAAGTTTTGGACGATTGGTCGCCTTCACTATATTCAAATTGCTCATCATTTCTCTTAACAGCTCCTTAAAGTCGACAATTGGCACGTTTATGTTTATGGTTCAAGTTTATTGGTAACAGATATGTTTGTTTGCATTTATACCAGAAAACATGAAACACCCATAGTAGAGATATATTTCTTTCTACGATATCTTTTTTGTAACGATATGTAGGAAAAATTGTTTGATCGAAACAACTTTATTGAAGGTTTCGTGCCATCTTGGATACTATCACGTATTTTGATCTATACAATAATGTACAATGCTAGAGCTATGTATTTTAAATATTTCATTGCTATCGTATATCAGTATTGTTATTAACAATAACAATCCTCAATGTTTGAGTAAGATTTGATACTTTAATAAATATACGTCTCATTAAATTTAAAGTACATGTCATAGTGAAGCATATAACACATTATTTATATTGCAATATTGTTTCGTTTATTGCATACGACAAATAAAAAGAATATTAAAAGTAAAAAAATGTGTTTAAATTTAAAAGAAATAAAAAGAATAAAAAATACAAANATCTTTTCGTTTCCAAGTAATCTGCCAGAGCTTTCTCACAGACATTCAATTGAATCTGTAATTCTTCCAGTTTCTCCAAAAGTTTTGGACGATTGGTCGCCTTCACTATATTCAAATTGCTCATCATTTCTCTTAACAGCTCCTTAAAGTCGACAATTGGCACGTTTATGTTTATGGTTCAAGTTTATTGGTAACAGATATGTTTGTTTGCATTTATACCAGAAAACATGAAACACCCATAGTAGAGATATATTTCTTTCTACGATATCTTTTTTGTAACGATATGTAGGAAAAATTGTTTGATCGAAACAACTTTATTGAAGGTTTCGTGCCATCTTGGATACTATCACGTATTTTGATCTATACAATAATGTACAATGCTAGAGCTATGTATTTTAAATATTTCATTGCTATCGTATATCAGTATTGTTATTAACAATAACAATCCTCAATGTTTGAGTAAGATTTGATACTTTAATAAATATACGTCTCATTAAATTTAAAGTACATGTCATAGTGAAGCATATAACACATTATTTATATTGCAATATTGTTTCGTTTATTGCATACGACAAATAAAAAGAATATTAAAAGTAAAAAAATTTGATTAAATTCGAAAGAAATAAAAAGAATAAAAAATACAAAAATAAGGTTTCTTAACTTTTGTCGGTAAGTGTGTTGTTATCTATAATGAAATTATAAAGGATACGAAGTACAAATACATTAATTTGGTGATACGTGTAACATATCTTATTCAAAATTGACAAAATACCTCGTTTATAAATTGCACGAGGTTCGACATTTTCTCATACCAGCTTTCATATTTTAATGAGATATTGTGATGATGTATTAACAGTTCGGAGCATTTGAACTCGTTTTCTTCAAAATCGTAAATTTTGATTAAGGTTTGTTTCAAATAAATGTTCAAAACGATGATAGAAGTACTATTATTATATATTTATATATTAGAAGTACTATTATCTACTGTTATTTAGTGAAATCAAAAATAGCACATACTTTGAAATCTCTGTCGATCTTTTCAAACCGCTTCGACTCTTCCGGGAGCTGACTTCTAATATCCTCCGAGCCAATAAAAATACTTTCGAGATGCATCCACGCTCTCTGAACTTCGAACCAGGCATTGATTATGGCGTCCGCGTTACTTAACTTTCTTTGCCAGTCCAGAATCTCGTCGAGAAAGTATCCCACAAATTTCGATCCCAACATATTTTGAAGTTGTACCTATTCAAATTCGTTCGAAACAGTCTCATCACACATTTCATTCTTGAAACAAATTAAATGTATAATAAATAGATAGATATGTGGACAGATAAATAACTGAAGTAACGAGAAAATAAAAATAACAACAGAACCTGGCATGAACTGGAATTATAATCGAAAGATGTTTATTTATAAGGCTGTGTGCGAAATATGCGACAACTCGCTTTCGTATGTACAGCGGATCATGAAATTTTCAGTATGCATATAAGTCAATCAGATCTACAAAATGAATGATTTTTTTATTTGTTTTCCTCGTTCCAATTGACTGCAATTCTTGAAAATATCTTCGAACAAAGTAAACTAGTTCTGTTTACGTTTCATAAAGAAATTTGAGCCTTTTTGTTCGATTGCAAAATATTGATCATCTTTAGTACATGCTTACATGTTTAGACAATGAGCCAAACAAATAATTTTTAACAAATTTAGAACTAAAAAATTAATTTCCACCACAAGAATTGGCCATAATAAGTTTGTTTCATTCTTACATATACGATAATTAATAATTACATATAATATAGCAAGTTTTGGTAAAATATCTAATGGCCAGTATGAAGAATCGAGTAAAAATAGCTCGCCACGGAACGCGTTAAAAGATACTCGAACACTTTCGTGAACAACTGTATCTACCTTGCATAGCTGAATCTCGTACGTTACCGCGAATTTATATTATAACTTACAACCTTATAGAATTCTATCTACTCGAAATATGTTATAGTTTCCCTTTTCTGATTCAGGAAGGGGAAGCATGTGTCACCTGATTATCTTCAAGAGTCTCTACAGTTTCCTCATCAATCCTAAGAACATGCAATTTCGTGCGATCGTGTAAATCTTTGCCAAATTCAAGGGTGCTCCAGGTGTCGTGAAGTTCTTTCAGAACCTTTTCCATTGCCATTTCTTTCACCGATTTGGCCACAATGTTCTTCACCTCCTCCTCGTACTTATGCAATTCCAGCTTCAGTAAGTCTTCCAGCGTGGTGCTGTCCGACATACTGAACACAACCTGGCGTAAAATATTTATTAATCCCACTTAAATAACCTCGGCAACAAATTATTTTCGATGTTTCCTTTTTTTCGCTGATACTTTATTTAATTCTCATTCTTGCCGCAAACGTTTTATTCATTGACAGTCTTTCATTAAATGCTGCAGCAAGTTTTTGGAAAGTTGCCTCGTTACGTTTTGAATTTTAGATGTCTTCTATTTATAAATGTTTTAAATTGTTGTTCTAATTGTGCATAAAACGTGTCCATGAATTTTGGTACAACTAAATCTAAGATAATTGTCCGTACGGGTTCGTGTTATAAATAAAGTAGTTTTTTGAAAAAACTTGTTTCCGAGAAAACGAAATCTAAATTGTGTAGATTATTACGAACTTCTGAATGAAATTCAATTAATATAAAAAGTGCACGTGTACAATACGAATCTTAATCGACTGTTTAAAAAATAGTACTTTGCATGAAAAAATTTGTTATCCTTTTAATTGTTTTACGATTTCGAACGTGCCATGCACTTGGAGAGCAAATAATTCATATTTAATAATGAATAAATATCGTCGCAGTATTTTTTGAAGTGTGATAAATCTGAATTCTATAAAGTTTGATAGAATGTAATGATATTTTACCGGAAACATTTTTTCAGCGAATCATTTCTCGTTAGTTGCTACTAATAGAACTTCTTATGATAAACTTTGTTTTAGCTACTTTCAAAATAGTATGATATTTACGAAAAGGAAATGTACAAGTAAAAGATACAATTGATATCGAAATCAAACGTTTCTTAAATATACACATTCATGCGATTTTTGGCATGTATGTGTGTGTGTGTGTGTGTGTGTGTGTGTGTGTGTGTGTGCGTGTGTGTGTGTGAATGAAATAATTCTTAAACATACACAC